ACTGTATATGTGTGTCTGTGGAATACTGTAATTAAAATACAGAGGAATACCGTGTGGAATACTAATATAAAGATGAAAACCGTCGTTTTGACACACCGAGTACATTTGTTAAACTTTGCCTAAAAACCTATATTAGACAGGTGAATAATAAAATTGCAATGCATTGAATGTGTGGCAATTTACACAAAATTTACACAAAATCAGATGCATAATATGGCTGATTTTAGCAAATGAGCACATATATAGAAAGATATGCTCGAAAATATGAAATATATCAACAGAATTCAGACCCCATATTAATACGCTTTATTTCCTCGCTTGCCATACACACAGTAATCTATCCTTGTTCGTACAGAGAGCGAATATGCATTCGCGGTTCATTATTTTACATCCCTTGTATTTGTTAACATAATACAACAAGAGTTGTAGGTGGGCTAACTGAACGAATTATGCAATGTTCCATCATATCACATACATGTTCATTTGGAGATTGGTAATTGAACCAAACGGGGAAGTTTTTGAACATCTTGTAGTGCATGTTGTGTAGAACGGCCATCATTTAAATCTACTGTAATAACTTAAATTAAATTAAAGAAGTTTATTATAAATAACCATACTGAAATTTGACTAAGTTTGAAACAACTCCACGACTACCATCAACGTGGCTTATAACTATAAAAAGAAAGAAAGAAAAGGGGAAAGAATAGAAAATGTAAAATTAAAAAAAAAAGAGTTACTAAATTTTATTTTATACTATTACTATATACGTTTTTTTTTATACTGCGTTAATTTATACCGCTTTACGTTATTTGTTTACTATATTCAATAATTCTAATAGTTACATTGAAATGTCTTTCTTTTTTATTTAGTTGACCGAATATATATAGGCCTTGAGTGTGGAGCACCCAGTGAGGATCGAGCTCACTACTCAGTTGTAATGGATTTAGCGAGACATGTTTGCTAACCATTAAAATTAAAGCAACCATTTAAGCAAATTCTAATTCTTACGTCCAAACTAACTGGAGTATTGATCAAAATTACAAATTGCTGATAAACAGAAAATCATGTATATTGCACACCTTTTGCAGAAATCTAGGACAAGATGACCACTATTCTAATCATAAATGCCGCTGTTCAGCATACCCTCCACCAACACCAAAGATGAGCGAAAGTTGTAACATATGATGATCGATATCGCGATGCCAACCTACCTGCTCTGGATGAATTTTCACTTCACAGGTCAACACCTTCAGACGTCCATCACTTGTCTGAAGGTATAACATGTTCTCATCACAGAACACCAAGAAGCATTATTCGACCCCTCCTCCAAGTGACTCTCGCCACGGAAGAATTGCACGACTGTATTGTGTAATAAAGGGATTTTTGTCTGGATGCATATTAATCCTGCAAATTTTTTGATCCGTTGGGTTTGTCAGGAGAGGCCACTTTTTTATTTTTGAATATTTTATGTGCATTTTGTTTTGCATTGAATATGAAACAGGGTATTGAAGGAGCTTGAAATTATTTTTAATATATTTATCCTCTTCATGGAAATATTGAAGACTGCAAATTCTGAGTACTCTTTAGAGTCCAATGATTATTCCAGATTTTATTTTGTTGTTATGATGGGAAGAGAAATCAGTGGACACTAAGTTTTAAGTTGCTGTTAACACAGTGTAGCATGTTATCTAGGAAAGATAAAATATTATTTTTCATTTTGTATGAAAATTCTATTGTATGTTCAACTTGGTTTATTTTATCTACAAGACCAGGTAAATCAGTATCATGAGGATATATTATTAAAAATACACCTTTCAGTGCCGAATCTAGGTGCGTCGGCAGTGTTGTTGCTCCCATGTCACTAGAAGATTCGGGTCTAAATAAACAAGAGACTTCTTCGATGGGCGACCCGACCGAATATGATCAGTATTTGGCCCGCACCCAGAATAAAATTTGCTACTAGCTTTAGAACGTGCTTTATATAAGTTCCCCCAGAAAACGGAAACTAATCAAGACTTCACTTGGGTTTATTCGATGTTATATATCGGGTATGCTTGGTTGTACTGATCTTCCTACATACGACCAAGACAGGGTGTTTTTTGGAAGAAGGAAGAAAACAAACCTATATATATATATATATATATATATATATATATATATAAAATTCTAAGAAAATACATACCATCACTTCACAAAGAGGAAGTCTCATTGGTAATCCAAATTTTCATTTATAAAAATTATTATCAAATATGAAAAAGCATTGATTGGTAATGAGACAGCAGATTTTTTTTATTATTTTAGCTATTGATAGGGGGAGGTTTGTTTTTGTGTTAGATGTTTTTTAAAGAGATTTATGATCAATCTTTTATTTAAAATTCTTGAGGTTTCTCCAATGTATTCTTCCCGGCAATCTTTACAGGTGATAGATTAAATCCCTTCTTCAGATTTTAGCTTATTGATTTGTTTTGTATTGATTAAGTTTTTTTTTTATTGTTTTAGACGTAGTTGTGACAAATTTTATGTTGAGTTTAGATAAATTCTTTTCAATTGTAGTCGTGATAGATTTAGTGGGTAGGACAATAAATCTTTTTGATTTGTTGGGTTTGTGAAAAGGGCTGCTTTTTTATTTTGGAATATTTTATGAGCATTTTGTTTTGCATTGAATATGAAACAGGGTATTGGAGGAGCTTGAAATTATTTTTAATATATTTATCCTCTTCATGAAAATATTGAAGGCTGCAAATTCTGAGTACTCTTTAGAATCCAATGATTATTCTGGATTTTATTTTGTTGTTACGATGGGAATAGAAATTTATGAGATCATTTTTATTAGTTGATTTTCGGTCGACCTCAGTTTTAAGCTAACGCAGTGTAGCATGATATATAGGCAAGGTAAAGTATTGCTTTCTTCCATTTGGCATGTAAATTCTATTGAATGTTTGGCAGAATCCCGAGAATATATTAATGAAACATCATCAATATATAGGAAGTATGTTGATTGATTAGGTAAAATATTTTGGAATCAAAACATTCTAAGAAAATACATGCAATCAATCCACATAGAGGCAATCCCATTGGTAATCCAAATTTTTGTTTATAAAAATTATTATTAAATTTAAAATAACATTGATGATGAGACGGTGGATTTTATTGTTTTAGTCATTGGTAGGGAAATGTTTGACTTTGTATTAGATGCTTTTTAAAAAGATTTTTCACCCGGGACGTTGGTATAAAGGTATTGTATATCTAGAGTGGCCATGACTTTGTCAGTCATATTTGTTTTTGAACTAAGTTGCTAGAATTTTTTTTTTTTATATGTGATTGGCTGATTCTTTCAAGTATTTCTCTTATGGCTTTCGCTAGTTTGTAGGGATCGTTCTGAACTACCCGTATTGGTACTACTGAGGCCACATTTGATCCGTTCTGCGCAGAGGATGTCATGCAATCTACCATTGCTATCTTTACAATGGGTCGATCATGTCGAAGCCCCTGTAGCCTCAGTTTTCTGTCTCGAGAGATCTTCAGACACATAATCTGAAGATTGCCTGAGATATGAATCTGTGATGTATGAAGTAACAGTGGGGACATAAGAAAAAACCATAGGTTGTGACTTAGTTTCTTGTGTCCACACTGTCACTATATGCCACGTTCACGGAGACGAGTCACCTACATTTTCCCCGTATTCCATTTGTAAGTTCCACTGAAACATTTTTTCCTGAGAACTGCAACTTTTTGGAACAAACTGCCGCGTGGGTGCATTTTCTAACATCTTCAAATCAAGGATCCGTCACTATCTATCCGCCTTATCCTCATAACTTTCCTTCCTCCCTCTAATATTCATATTACCTTTCATCCAATAAACCCCGAAATATGGTGACTATTGAGCCGAGTTTTGAGGAAACTTACATTATTTTTTAGTGAATACTCGTAATTGAGTAGACGTCCCGTTCATTTAATAAACAGTATATTTATTTATTTTCCTCTACCGTCTTCAATATTCAAGAAATCTTATTAGAAAAAAATATGCACTCTCTAGCAGGATTCGAACCTGCATTCGCCTATGGGGAAACTCTTATTAGATCTGACGTGCTTTGGGCCTCTCGGCTACGGAGTGTATCGAAGGCCACGGACAGCGCATATTTTTTATCGATTTCGAATATCCAGGCCGGTAGTTGAAAATTAATAAATATACAGTTTCATAAATAAACGGAGCATCGACTTAAATACGAATATCCAAATAATGGCCATAACTGAATTTGTATATCAATAATATTATTTACACGATTTATATTCGGAATATTTTTCCTTATCTTTGTTGATGTTAACAGGAGGTTCGCTATCTATATATATATATATATATATATATATATATATATATATATATATATATTATATATATATATTAAACGCTTATTGTTTAGTAGATATTCCTATTTGAGTAGATGTTTTGTTCATTTATTAAACACTATATTTATTTATTTTCATATACCGGACTGAATATTTGAAAAGAATATTTTTCTCATAAGAGTTTTTTCGAATATTCAGGAAGGTATATGAAATAAATAAATAAATATACTGTTTAATAAATGAACAGAACATCTATCTCAAATACGGATATCCACTAAGAAATAACGTTTAGACAATAAAATGAAAATATCATCCCTATATATATATATATATATATATATATATATATTGGAATATATATATATATATATATATATATATATATATATATATATATAAAATAATATATATATATATATGTATATATAAATAAATATATTGGAATTGGAATAATATATATATATATATATATATATATATATATATATATTAATAAATAAAAGAGCATCGACTTAAATACGACTATCCACGAAAAAATAACGTTTAAGTAATAAAACCTAGTCGGATTAATAAATAAAACAATACATTTTTTTCTTTAGAAATTGCTTTGTTTACGTTAGGATACGAAACTGATCAGATATGTTTATTTTGAGAATCAAAGGCGCAGTCCGTGGCCGAGAGGTCAAATTATCATCTTTTTCGTCTCTTACCTTTTTATTGGTAAAGTGTTAAAAGTTCTAGTCAATGCCGAATAGATTAATCATCTTACTCCACACGACCGCCTTTCGGATAAACAATATGGTTTCCGTTTCTCCAAGTCGACTGTCAATGTATTAATGGACATAACTGAATTTGTATATTAAGCTTTGGATAAGAACGGCGAAGATGGGGTTGTGGCTGTATATATCTCAAAGGCTTTCGACAGGTTTTGGAATTCATGTCTTCTACATAAGCTGGAGAGCTACGTTGTCTCTAGACGAATATTTGATCTAATCAAATCGTTCCTAACAAACCGTGTAATGAATTTCGTGTTGAAAGAACACCCTTCTAGATCATTTCATGCTAATCCGCTTCCCTATGGCTCTGTCCTCGGACCTACGCTGTTTCTGATCGTCATCAACAGGTTCTCGATGTCATTGAATAGAAGTTAGGTATTTATTCAGATCACACAAATATTTACTCCTGTCATAGTAGCAATTCGTCAAAGTAAAATTATCAACAGCTCCAAAAAGAACCTCTAATTGGTGGTTAACTGGGGCAAGGAATGGCTTATAAATTTTAACGCCTTCAAGACAAAACTGCTTTCATGGTTGATGGTAAATTCTAGGATAGCAACACTTTGCGCCCTTTTGGGGGTCATTTTCCACTGATATGACGTGAAGTGACTATATCGAATGAAATGCTGGGTCTAATGCTAGGAATGTTAATATACTGAGTCGTGTCAGTCAATTTTTCTACTAGATTGGCAACCTGGCATATATATATATATATATATATATATATAACATAAATGCATTGCTAACAGTTTTACTATAGATTCGCATAAAAAATTATCCAGGAAGGGATCGTCATAGGTCATGAATGATTAATTCGTTTTCTACGTCTTATCAAACCACTGATGGTTATTTAAAGCCATAAAATATTTTTGGATTGTAAAAAAAATGTTTGTGGGAGTGGGGGGGCAGATAATAATGATTTAGTTATTAATTAACCCATAGCTGGGGAGAGAAGAGTTGGATTCATAGTTTTTCTAAGGGTATTTGTGTATAAATGAATATAACGAACCCAACCGGAATTGGAACTCAGCTCTTCAATTTACAATTCTGATTATCCATGACACCACCTGCAAATCCAAGTTTACAGCATTTGGTATTGCCAAGCAGTCACCCATTTAGGTACTGACCAGGCTAGAAATTGCTTATCTTTGCTATCATCAGATATCGTGTCTTGTAAAGATGTTGCTTAGGTTCATTTTGTTCCGGGAGTTACATATCACCCATTTTAATGTTGTTTTTGAGGCAGTGGCCTTAGTCGTCATCTTTCCCGCTTAATTGTTAAGAGAACAATCTGTTACCCGGTAATTGTTTTTGTGACAAAATTCTTACTAATTAACCCATAGCTGGGGAGAGAGAAGGTGGGTTCACACCTTTCCAAAGGGTATCTGCGCGTAAGTGAATATAACGAATATAACTAGAATTCAAACACGGTTCTTTGATTTACAATTCCGAGCCATTATCCATTATGCCATCCCCCATAAACAAGCTTACAACACCTGGTATTTCCAAGCGGTTATTCATCTAGGTAGTGACCAGACTCGACCTTGCTTAACTTCGGTGATAGTACGGAAGCCAGTGTTTCAACGTGATGTGGCCGTAAGCCTGTAATAGGTCAAGACTTAATGAGAGTGTTACTGACGGAAAATATCTATTATATATAATGACAATATAACAGTATGACATTAATACATAATACTAAATGGCCTTTTTTTATCTTTAAAATTGGTTTTCCTTCAAGAATAACCAAATATAATGGGCTTAGTAACCGTGTTTGCCAGTTATATATAAAAAAAAACCCAAACAAATTGCCTGATTTTGGAAATTAAATTAGTCTTTTCTTCGGATTTGTTTGCGTCTATGAAAAAGAAAACTAATATCGGTCATCTATTTTTTCCTATTGTTGCATTTAAAATAATTGAGTTATTATGCATATGCCAACACATACATAAGCAAACAAGTCTACATGAACACACACACGCACACACACACAACCATTTGTAATTACAGTCGCAACAAGAATTGTGGAAAATTGATAGATATTCATAAGGGCTGTCTTTTTTCATTAAAGAAATTTGTTAAAGAATAAATCGTTTACGACAGGTTATATATATATATTTATACATACAAATATTTAAGTAAATGCTCTGTTTATAATAAACAATATTAGCAGGCATTAATGTCCGAGAAATCTCATAGAAAATGTGTCCTCCGACAGGAATCGAACCTGTATCCTACACGGAACGGTCATATAGCCTAATGTGCTATATCATTTAGCTACAGAGGAAGAGTCTGGTTAGGAAGGTCAAATTACTGCTTTTAAAATAATTGTCGGACTTAGTCCATTTCATAATATATGACGTTATATATATATATATAA